AGGGGGATGGGACTGACCAGATGAAAGTGTCTCAAATAGATCTGACCACTCCTTGGGCCTGGCCATCCACCCAGATGTTTCCCTGGTGAACAGATGCTGCAGAATGTGTTTGATAATGTTTCTGTAACCCCAGATTATTGGAATAAATGTAGATTTATCTCTGCTCGACACAGAAATTCATTCACTTTCTCTTTTCCTCCCTCTGTGGATCGAGGGAACTTGTGACTTCAGTGTGTGACTCACTGTGTGAAAGGGCAAATATGGACAGAATCCAGGGCAGGGAGTGTTTGGGGCATTTTGGGATGGTGTTTGCCATTGGTCTAAAACTATCTACTGCAGAATGTGGACTTCAGTGGAGGCAATGTGGACTTAATATACAGCAGGGGAAAGACTTTTGGTTTGTACTGAGCTGTGCCTTCCTCTGGGTTTGCCTGCTGGCAATGAATGAACACCCCTCTATGTCTCGGGCAGCTCTTTCTCCAAGCCAAGCAGGTGGGAGTTGGTGCCAAGGAGCTGAAACCTGCAGGTCCAGCCTTGAGTGGAGGAAGCTCAGATTTGCCCAAGGCTGCTTTGAGTGCCAGGGGTTTGATGAGGGAATGGTGGGGTGGGGATAGGGATAAAGTCTGATGGATTGTCAGACATAAAGGGTCTTGATTTTCTTATCTATTCAGACTGAATTAGCAAGTACTTGGGACCAAAATCGACTGGGGATTGTTGATATCAATGTTAAAACAGGGAAAAGGTAAACAGGCCAGAAAAAAGACATCTTTTCTCATGGTTTTAGTAATACAATATATTCACTTTGAATGCACTTCTGAGATCTGTCCAATTAACCACAAAAGAATTGAAGACTTATAAGTAAATTATTTCCAGGGACATGTCTCGTTAAGATGTCATCACTGAGAAGAGAGTGTGGAGGAATGAGAAGGAGAGCATCCCTGGGGGCTGGGGAAGCAGGAACTCAGAGTCACTGGTTCCAGGTGGAATATGGACTATGGGATGTTTCTGTGAGAGTCCATGAAGGGTGTGCTGGTTTCAGGGGGAGTACAGTTAAATTTCTTCCCCGTGACCAGTGCAGGGCTGTGTTTTGGTTTGTGCTGAGCACAGGGTTGATAATCACAGAATCACAGAATATGCTGAGTTGGAAGGGACCCACAAGGATCATCCAGTCCAACCCTTAGCCCTGCACAGGATTATCCCCAAGAGTCACACCATGAGCCTGAGAGGATCATCCAAACACTTTTTGAGCTCTGTCAGCCTTGGTGCTGTGCCCACTGCCCTGGGAAGCCTGTTCAGTGCCCTAAGTCCAGTCCCTGGTCCCCACAGAGCAGAGCTCACTCCCTGCCCCTCCTCTGGCCCTCCCCAGGAAGCTGGAACTGCAGTGAGGTCTCCCCTCAGTCTCCTCCAGCTGAACACACCAAGTGCCCTCAGTGTCTCACACACCTTCCCCTCAAGGCCCTTCCCCATCTTCCTTGCCCTCCTTTGGACACTCTCCAATGGCTCAATCTCTCCCTTCCATTGTGTCCCCCCAAACTGCCCCAATGGTGCAGGTGAGGCTGCCCCAGGGCAGAGCAGAGCGGGACAATCCCCTCCCTGGCCCAGTCGGCCATGCTGGGCCTGATGCCCCCAGGACAGGCTTGGCCCTCCTGGCTGCCAGGGCACTGCTGACTCAGGGCCAACTGGCCACCCACCAGCACCCCCAGGGCCCTTTCCCGGCACTGCTTTCCAGCCTCTCCTTCCCAGTCTGTCCATCCATCCGGGGTTGCCCCATCCCAGGGCAGAATCTGGCACTTCCCCCTGTTGAAGTTCTCAAGGTTCCTAAAGAGCCGTGAGGTCATGGGATGTCAAAGAGCCACAGGAGCTAAAGGGATCCTTGCGACAATGTGGAACCTCATGGAATTAAGGGATCATTGCGACACTCTGGTACCTCATGGAATCAAGGGGACATTGTGACATGTGGTGCCTCATGGAATTAGAGGAGAGCGATAAAGCTTTCAATTGCTGCAATGGGCAGAAGAGAGAACTGCCCCACAGCTGCTTCAGTTATCAGTTTACAAGTATGTCATGAGAAAACGAAGTAGCAACAGGACTGGAGAGTTCTACTGTTCTTTGCAGCACTGATGGTTTGCATGTGTTTGTGTTTTTATCTTAATAACTTTGTGATGTGCACGTCTGTGTGTATTTTTGTCTCAGGAGTTTTGCAATATGTAAAATTTACCACAAACATTGTGTTTGTGTCTCCTCTACTCCCAAAATTACTTGTATGATCAGCTTATTAATAATTGTTGACTTATTTGTGTTTTTATCATGAGCAACTCACTGGTAAGATTGTGTAAGACAAGCCATTTTATGTATTGCTAGTTTAATTTTTGTCAAGATTATTTTGTCTTTTTATTGAAAAACAAGTTGGCTTGGGAGAAGCTTTTAGATATGTGTAATTCTGTCTCAATTGAGAACCAAGAAACTCCACCAAATTTAGCCTGGGAGTTGGTACAAGAATTTATGCATATTTGGAATCACACAAATATGTATTAGATGCATTAACCCTCTGCCTCAGAAGGCGTCAAATTTTATATTTGGCTAAATGTCTCAAAATATTAACAAATTAAACTAAATCTAGACAAAAGAAAAGAAAGTGTGACCGGAAGATAATATAAGAAAGCCTTGTACCAACTCCCAAGTAACTCAATGTATTTGCATAAAACTGATGTGTAATTTCAGGTCCAATTTCAAGACACATTATTATAGAACAATACTACTCATGGGATGGAGACAGTGGCTAATGAAAATTAGATTTGTGTCAGCATTAAATCCTGATGTTTGTAACTTTGTTAATGTTAGGAAATTTGATGGTAGCTATTGAGATCCTGTTATGTCCCATATGCTTACTATTTTACTCTAAGGTTTGTTTTTTTTCTGGGAATTGCATTGCATTGGGAAAAGATTTGTGCTCTCTCTTCCTTTTCTTTACTCTTCTCTCTGTCCACTACATGAAAGGCACCGCCCACAAAGAAGATTCACAGTGAACAACAAAAGAAGAGAAATTATTGAATGCATAAATCACAGGGTGGTGTCAGAGACTGAAATGGTTCATGATTTATGCATTCTAGGATTGCCAAGGGACTCTTGCAGGCTTCTGCAGGACTTTTGCATTATACCTCTGATGGCCCATCAAAGCCCATCCCCCCTCCACCAATCCTGAAAGGCAGGAAAAACCCTTTTCCCAGGCCCCTCACGGGAACTCTGCGCAGGCCCAGGAGATGTTGGGGGTTCGTGGCATGGCCCGGGACACCATCCATGGATATAATAACTCAGAACTTCTTGCAGTGTGGGGGCTTCCCTCCCCCACCCCCAACGGATCAAGGCCACCACTTCAACTCACAGACATGGAAGCTGCAACTCCCAAGTTCCATCGCTGGACCCCGTGGGCAGTGACTATAGACATCTTTCCACTCTCAGCTTTGCTTTCCCTTACTCTCCCTCACCCTTATCCTGTCTTTCCTTTCTCTCCCTTATGCATTTTCCCTAAAGGTTCTCTTTATGCCACATTGCTGTAGATGAAAGATATAGATGATAACACCCAAACTGGCAACATACCTGTTTACCTTTGAAACAAAAGTGTTCTAAAATAAACCCTACATATTTATGTTTTCAAACACCAATTATTCCGTGTCGTTTCACTCTAATCCACCCCAAGGGATTTATTATTAAGAACCTGGGTTACCCCCTCCTTTCTGGGGCGGGTGCTAACAGACCCCTTGTAGCAGGATGTTCTGCCTGGAAAAAAATCTGATGGGAGAATGCAAGCAATGCAAGCTCTCTGTGGGGAGTTACTGCTGGTGCCAAGGGGTTGGTTTAGTGTTGAATTGTGCCAAACCCAGCCTGGTTCCCCAACCTTCCAATACACATCCTGCTTTTGGAAGCAGAGTTTGACAGATCAGCTGCTCACTGGCCTGGCAATATGTGACTGGCCATCCATCACTGGATAAGCATAAAAGCCCAGGGCCAACTTTCATAGAGCAGATTCTTCCACAGACTTTGTTGAAGTGTGTGGAGCTTCTGCTGTGAAGCAGGGACGCCTCTTGATGGTCACTGCCCAGGGGGTAAAAGAAAGAGAGAGATGCCTTGATTTATTTCTATCAGACACCGCCGGGCCCTCCCCGCTTCCTGCCCAGTCCCGGTTATTGGGGGGCAGTGGAGGAGGGGCTTGGGGGAATCCCAAGGGGTGGAGCCGAGTTTGGGGGGGGTAGAATCGGCCTGAGATGGATCGAGAATGGGGATCCCTCTGTGTGCCCCCATGTCAACCCACTCTGGGTGGGATTTGGGAGGGCACCTGCCCCTCAATAAAGCACCCAGCTCACACCAAAAGGTGCTGGGACCCCCAAAAACCTTCCCACGGCCCCTCAAAGACTCCCAAACACACTCAAAGCCCACCCAGGACCCCACCTAACCCCTTTTCTGGGGTGCTGGGGGCTGCTGGATTCAATCTCAGCCTTGCATTATGACAACAGTTTCAGTTTAGAGGAATTACAGAAATGTGACTGAAACACTTTGTCCCCCAGGTTTTAATGATGACAAATCAGATCTACTGATAGAAATGAGTTATTTAGGGTTCCAAAGGATCAGACAAAAGATCTTCATGAGAATTATTTACTGCACAATACAAACACTAAAACTACCAGGAGTACAGGATAAGATAGGACAGTGCTCTACACTAAAGCAATTGTTGAAGCAATTCTACTCAAGCTGGCACAAAAGCAATAATTCTTAATTAAAGATGGATGGAACTCCCCCAGACCAAAGCTCCTGGGGAGATCTCTGCCCTCAACCTCCAGAACTGACCTTGGGGGTTCCCCAGCCAAGGCAGGAATCTCCACACACACCCAAAGAAGGGTTCTGTTGGAAGAAGCTGCCCCTGGGAAAGGGGACTGGCCCTTTGTGGTCGAAAGGGATGGACTGACAGTCACTGGACTCCAGGGGTTGCCTCACCATCAGGGAGTTCATTTCGGGTGGAAGCAGCGGCTGAAGCTCTTCCCACCATCAGGGCACTGGTAGGGTTTCTCTTGATGGTGGGTCTGTTGGTGTGAGATCAAGTTAGAGCTCTGGGTGAAGCTCTTCCCACACTCCCCACACTTGTAGGGCCGTTCCCCAGTGTGGATGCGACGGTGGGTGACGAGGTGGGAGTTCTGCTTGAAACCCTTCCCACAGTCGGTGCAGCGGAAGGGCCTCTCATCCGTGTGCGTCCGCTCATGCAGGAGGAGACTGGAGCTGGTCGGAAACCTCTTCCCACATTCCCCACACGTGTAGGGCCGTTCTCCAGTGTGAATGAGCTGGTGGGCACAGAGATGGGAGCTGTTCCTGAAGCTCTTCCCACATTCCCCACACAAATAGGGCCGTTCCCCAGTGTGGATGCGCTGGTGTTGGATCAGGTCGGAGCTGTACCTGAAGCTCTTCCCACATTCCCCACACATGTAGAGCCATTCCCCAGTGTGGATGCGCTGGTGTTTGCAGAGGCTGGAGTGGTGCCTGAAGCTCTTCCCACATTCCCCACACGGGTAGGGCCGTTCCCCAGTGTGGATGAGCTGGTGTCGCATCAGGGTGGAGCTCTGGTTGAAGTTCTTCCCACATTCCCTACAAGTGTAGGGACGTTCCCCAGTGTGGATGTGCTGGTGCTTGAGGAGGTTGGTGCTCTTCCTGAAGCTCTTCCCACATTCCAAGCACCTGAAGGGCTTCTGCCTGCTGGGAGGCTGCTCAGGAACCATCAGGTCGGAACTCTGCCTCAAGCTCTGGCCGCCTTCCCAGCACAGGCTGGGTCTTTCCTCCTCAGAGCACCCTGGGCTGGCTTTGGAGCCCCTCCCGCGGGGGGATCTCTGGCCCTTTTCCTCCCCGCTGCCTTCCTGCGCCGTGGAGCCCTTCAAAACGGCCTCTCCCACCAGGTTCTCACAGGAGGATTTGTCCTCCGGGCTCTCCGTCCTCAGCTCGGGGCCTGGGGCAGGAAACAAGAAGGACAGGGAGGGGATTTGCCTCCGGCCCACAGGGAAGGCCAAGGACATCCCCCCAACTCCGGCCCCGGCAGGATGTATTATGGTTGCCATGGTAAGTGACTGTGGCAACGGGAATGTATGATGGTTGCCATGGTAACTGACCGAAGCAATGCGAGTCGATGATGGTTGCCATGGTAACTGATCATAGCAATGCGGCTCTATGATGGTTGCCATGGTAACCAACCGTAGCAACGGAAATGTATGCTGGTTGCCATGGTAACTGACTGCAGCAGTGGGAATTATGCTGGTTGCTACAGTATCTGACAGTAGCAATGGGAATGTATGATGGTTGCCATGGTAACCAACCGTAGCAATGAGACTGTATGATGGTTGCCATAGTAACTCACTGTACCAGTGGGTAGTATTATAGTTGCTATAGTAACCGACTGCAGCAATGGGAATGTCTGATGGTTGCCATGGTAACTGACCGTAGCAAGGGAAATGTGTGATTGTTGCCATGGTAACCGATCATAGCAAAGGGAATGTGTGATGGTTGCCATGGTAACTGACCGTAGTAATGGGAATGTATGATGTTTGCCATGGTAACCGATCATAGCAAAGGGAATGTGTGATGGTTGCCA